TCCATCCTTCCATCCATCCATCCATCCAAAAATAGTTCCACTATAAAGTGTCATATATTCGTCTTGACAGACTCAAACGATAGATCATGGATTAGAGCCGATTGCAGACCTTCCAACTCTAACCGTCACTCATCTTCAGCCCAGATGTCTAGCAATTCAACTTATCTCCTAAAAAAATCAAAATAAAAGGCACGAAAAGAAAAATATACTTCGATTTTCTTAAATCCTAATATTATTGCAGACTAAACAACTATGGGTTTTGATATTAGGTTTTCTAATCCTTGGAAGAAAAACAAAAATATACTAGAGTCAATTTTCAAATTACTTGCATTTGTGAACATTTTTCGAACACTGATAAGTCAAAAGTTTGTAAAGCAATTCTGTTTTTTTTTTTTTCAAAAAATATTTATTTCTCTAGAGGGCTTTTAGATTACATGTGATTTCACAGCCACAGTGTTGGATGAATTTAGAAGTTAGAAGAATATTATTTTTTCCTCTCTTAATTAATTTTCTTCCTTTGCTAATTTTTCAAAAATCTCATTTTCCTTAGGTAACTGGTTTATGTTTTAACATCAAGAAAGATAGAAAAACAGAGAGAGAGAGAGAGAGAGAGAGAGAGAGAGAGAGAGAGAGAGAGAGAAGAAAAAGGAGCATAAAAAGAGAAGTGAAGAGTATATCTAGCAAATAAGATACGATAATTTTTCATGTTAAACGCGCTTTAATCATTGCCGGCTTTACTAGTGACTATCTCTGTGGTTTTCGGTAATTGATAATCCTGAAATGAAGACTTCAGCGCCTTCTACTGCGCAAACCAAATTAAAAAAATATGAAGGTCCAACAATTAAAGAACCAATTAAGAATCAAGAGATGGTAACCAATGAAGATTATTGGCTAATGAGTTTGAGAGCGAGAATGCTTTTGCCATAGTCATTCTTGTTATTAATTCAAAGAAGCAAATCAACTTGACGTTTGAAACCTTCAACGAAGGCAGATCATTTGCTATAGAGACGGCTTGACATGTGGCTTATTTTTCCCTTATCCGTTGTTAGTCATCGAGGATTATTTTACCGAGCTTAGCAATAAATATCTTTAAATAGCTTTTAACTGATCATTGCAGAACTCGAAATGAATTAGGTATGTCAATATACTCGGATAGTCGTGTTAGAGTAGACTATGAAGAAAGCTGTCATTCAAATGTCATGCCAAAAGAAGATAGACACGCCCACGTTAATAAAAGTCGCTGAAATAAGCTTGATTTGCGCATTCAAGGGCATTGAGCAACGAAACACGATCAGGGACACATCTTCCGCGACGTCTTTGGGCTTATCATAAGGTTAGTTTGTTTTTTGGTTTTAAAAATCATTCTCCTATTTGAAATTGTGTAGAGGTTTTAAAACCACAAACCTGGGTTATTTTTGGCTGATTGATATTGGGGCAAGCTGTAATTTGGATTTTACTTAGCGGTGCTCAACGTCTCAATTGACAACTCTCTATGTATCGGCGTACATTAATATCTATGTAGCTTATATAGTTGTTAAACCAATTTTCATATGCTCTTCAAAAACGACTCTACATGAAGCGAGGGCCGATACTGGGGGGGAATGAGAAAGGAAAGGAGAGGAGAGGAAAGGAAAGGAAAGGAAAGGAAAGGAAAGG